AAGACAGAGACTCACTATGTTGCCCTTGGTAGAGTGCTGTGGCATCCCCATAATGCCCAGTCATTTTTTGTTGCAGCTGTCATTGTTCCGGGTTTGAAACCGACGTCCTCAACTAACCGCTATGCTAGGAACACACCAAGCCTCTTTCACATAAGTTAACCTCCTGTAGGCACAGATTTGGTTCTCAAGGAGATCCAGTGATCTCTATTCACTTCTAGTGCCAGCCAGATTCCCTGCTGTGTTCACAGTAGGAACTGAATGTATACAGAGCTATAAATGCTATTTGAAGAAGCCCACAAAACTTACATGGATATGTAAATTGTTTTTGAAATAATCAGAGGGCATTACAAAATAATCTGGTCTTAACAAAAGTAAGGCTGTCTCCTTCCACTAATACCAGAAATAATTGAAAGAAAATAGATTAATTGCAGGATATGGAGTTGAAAATTGAAAGCATCCTTTTCGTCTGACAGTAGTGAGAATACCAAAGTGAATCAATTGCTCTTACTCTAAAATTCTTGATATGCACATCAGACCATGTCTTTCTTATTACTTTAAGTACTGAGATTTCTCATACATAGAAATCCTTAAAATTTAGCTGTAACACTTTTCTTGATAACAAAATGAAATTGTTCTGTGTGTGGGTTATTGTGACTATTGTGATTGCAGCCATACACAGTGGGAGGCTCCATGGTGAAACTCGGGGTCTCTGTTCCCAGATGGTGGAATGTAGGCAAATGGTAGGGCCACATCAGCAACTCTCCACTTTCAAAAAAAAACCATAAAAAGCTGAAGGATTGGGGATTGGTTTGTTTTTTTTTTTGATTTTTGGGTTGTTTTTTTTTTTTTTTTGAGACAAGAATCTCACTCTATTGCCCTAGGTAGAGTGCTGTGGTGTCCCAGCTCACAGCAACCTCCACCTTCTGGGCTTGGGCGATACTCTTGCCTCAGCCTCCCGAGTAGCTGGGATTACAGGCGCCCGTCACAACGTCCAGCTATTTTTTGGTTGCAGTTTGGCTAGGGCTGGGTTCGAACCTGCCACCCTCAGTATATGGGCTGGCATACTACCCACTGAGCCACAGGCACTGCCCTGGACTGGGAATTTTAAAAAACAAACTGGCCTTTCACCACAGGTAGTTTGAAGAATTACTAGTCTAGAATGTTGCCTGCTACAGAATGAATGAATGAATAAAAAGATGCCATTGGTTGGTACAAATGTTTCCCAATGCTAGTGTTTCTGTGTCTGACAGTTTGCCTCTCCAGTATTTAGCTATTGTCTGTAATAGGGTGAATAAGCACGGGGAAGGAGTCTTCTCACCTACTAACCTTGATTTCTGTGGGCCTCTCAGTCAGCCTCTTATGGCTTTTAAAGGTTTCCTCATTTAGATTTAAATGAAATAACATGAAATTACATTTTGTGAAAAGGGTTCACAAATGTGAGGTTTCATTGTTACTAACATAGCCATGTTTTATTCTTTCTAAGATCTAACATCTCTATTCCTCTCATAACTCTTACGAGTTATGAAAAAAAAACAAGAATGTTGGTTAGGATAATATAACACAAGAAGCGAATACTGCTTTTAAGTAAAAGCTGATACTAAAACTCCAATTCTCTACTGGTTAACACTTCAGCATGTCTCCAAGTCGCCCACAGTGGACCATAATGATAAGAGACCCTCAGAATCCTAAAGTGCCTTCTGAACTAGTAAAGTGTATTTTATGGTATTTTAACCCATTAATTATACCATGGACATAGTACCTACATATTAGACAGTATTATTAACTGAATCTTCTTGTTCATGCCAGTAAAAGTTAGTTGTATGATAGATGCTCACATATATGATGAGATTTTCTCCAAATTTCTCCATTAGAAAAGAGGGAGTTGCTTTACATTTAGGTCCTTACAAGGTCATATTATAGAGCTGTCTCATTCCGTAACTCTGACACTGAAGTACTGCCTTGGGAAAACACATTAGCATGGAAATTATTCAATTACTACTACTACTCTTAAATACTCATAGAGATCATTGATCACTTTCATAGCAATACTGTATGAAATTATGTTGTAAAACTCAGACATAAACACCTATAAGACTGATGAGGTATGCTGTTATGCAAATGGTAATTTCCATGAGTGTTTGTTAAGGAATGACTTGTGTTTCACCCTACTCCTTCCCACATTCTTATGTTGAAGCCTTAACTCCTAATGTGACTGTATTTGGAGATAGGTCCTTTAAAAAGGTAATTAAGATTAAATGAGGTCACTGAGATGGACCCAGTATGACTGGCATCTTTATAAGAAGACACGAGGACGTGTACAGAGGAAAGACCACGTGAAGACAGTGAGCAGGCAGCTGTCTGGAGGTGAGGAGGAGAGGCTTCAGGAGAAACCAAGCCTGCCAACACTGGGATCTTGGGCTTCAGCCTCCAAAACTGAGAAAATTGTAAGCCCACCTGTCGAACTTTGTTATGGCAACGTTAGCAGACTACTAGAACATCCTGTATGCTGATGCAAAAGGTAGAGTACCCAAAACCAGGCAGGTGGTGTTCAGATGGTGTGCCCTGAAAACCTAGATGGTTCAGAGTGGCCCCAGTGATGAGAAAGAAGACAGTAGCAAAGATGCTTGGAAGAGTTTGACCACAATTGTTCTATAAAAAAGGATGGGAAAAAAATGTTTATAAAATAATGTTTTTAGGCTCGGCGCCTGTGGCTCAAGTGGCTAGGATGCCAGCTACATACACCTAAGGTGGCAGGTTCGAATCCAGCCCGGGCCCACCAAAACAACAATGATGGCTGCAACCAGAAAATAGCCAGGCGTTGTGGCGGGCGTCTGTGGTCCCAGCTACTTGGGAGACAGAGGCAGGAGACTCGCTTGAGTCCAGGAGTTGGAGGTTGCTGTGAGCTGTGATGCCACAGCACTCTACCCATGGGACAGCTTGAGGCTCTGTCTCCAAAAACATAAATAAATAAATAAATAAATAATGTTTTTAGGGTGTAAGCCCGAGCACTCTGGAAGGCCAAGGTAGGTGGATTGCCTAACTCAGGAGTTCGAGATTAGCCTGAGCTAGAGCAAGACCCCTGTCTCTAAAAATAGCTGGGCATTGTGGCAAGAGCCTTTAGTCCCAGCTACTTGGGAGGCTGAGGCAAGAGGATCACTTGAGCCCAAGAGTTTGAGGTTGCTGTGAGCTGTGATGCCACAGCACTCTACCAAGGGCAACAGTGAGAAGAATCTTAAAGATTCTTTAAAGATTCTTAAAGATTCTAAAGAATCTTAAAGAATCTTAAAATAAAATAACAATTTTAAATACAAAAAGTTAACGTATACTTATTTCATCTATAGTCCTTTACTTACTCAAGTTTGCCAAAAATCTTTTGTCTTGATGTGATTTTATTGGGAGAAATGAGAGATAGCCTTGTAATTAGGATTTATGTAAATAGGTTTTTTAAATTAGAATAAAGTACAGTCCTGCATATGTAGAAAAACCATGATATTTAGTATTGATCATCATTCAAATTAACTTTGACATGAAAATCACATTTATTGTATATATAATTCATTTTTAAAGTCAGTTTCAAATAAGACAAATGCCAGTGGGGTAAGTTTGGTGGGGGTTGGTCTATATAGAATATAGGTATGTAGTATGAATAACATTTTAAACTACTGCATCGAATTAGAACCTCTCCTTTATCCCATGCCCTCACTCAGGCCCATCCTTCTGCCTGTTTCATGGAAAATGTTGGTATTCAGCGGTATGAATGGAGATGTTCAATGATATTTTCCCAGTTCTATTGCTATTTGCTGTTCTTTTAAGAAACCACGTGAGTGTTTCTTATTGTGAGTTACATGTGGTTTCAAATTTCCTTGGAATCTTGTTCATACAGGAGAAATCATTCTCTTTTCAAGTTCCTCAGTGAAGCGATCATATCACTGACAAAGGACTTCAGGGATATGCTCCAAGGTGGAGGTACATGAAGTGGTGATTGTAAAACAGGAAACACTTAAACACACGTTTTCTAGCCTGGTTATCTCCATGACAAAACACAAAAAGCATGCACATGTTCTTATCTCCAAAGTTTCCCTACTAGGGAAATTTCCACCAAAACTGGAAACAATTGCACTAATCTAAAGTGTTTTTCTTGTGAACAGATGAACTCTTGTGAACTGCAGCATGTAAGTGAATGTTATTGCCTTTTATTAAACATGGAGAGATGCATAAAAAAAATAGGTAATAGAGTATAAACTGAAGCATGAGTTCCTGCCATACTGGGACTCGGGTGCAAATGAATGTTAGCTGCTTCTGGAGTCCATCTAGTCTGAAGAATATAATGACTCGCACGTAAAGGAAATCATTCACGTGAGCAGATCCAGGGCCTTACAGGCTGAACTACAGCGCGGCCCCAGACACCAGTGGTGTGGTGCTTCCAGGGATCTGGGTCACAACGTCAGTTGCCACAGTGTCATATTCCTGCAGCATGTAATATAATGCTGGGTGTACAACAGATGTTTAATAAATGCAAATTAAGCCAACAAGTGTCTTGTCAGCCTAGCTTTGGCAAGCTGGAGCGGGACGGTGGAACCCCAGGTGGGTACTGGGAATTTTCTTTTAATCTATCTTTAAATTCTTGTTCATTACACAGATATTCCTGTGGTGCATACCGCGAAAAAGGTGATTCATAGAATTACAGGCATCTATGAGAAAATCGACCAGTATATCAAATTGAATAGAATGTACGCCCCGGGGAAGAAGATCCTGGAGTACTTGTCGATGGCGTGGGTGTCGATGCGCATGCTCACGTAGCCGCGCGGGCCCTTCCTCTGCGGCGAGCTCCGCTCCGAGGCCAGGCTCAGCTGCACCATCATCCGGTCCGGCTTCTCCCCGGGGTCCGCATCCGCCATGTAGCCGTCCAGCTCCGTCGCCTCGGCGTCGCTGTAGCCGCCGTCCAGCATCACGCGGGGCGGGGGCAGCCCGCCGGCGCAGGGCAGCTGCGGACATAGCAAACACAGGCGAGGCTCGCGCCGCCCTGGGGACTCTGCGCTGCAGGGAGGTGCCTCGTCCTGGGTCCTTTCATTTCCAGTTTGGGAAGAGGGCAGGAAGGGAGTGGGTGTCCCTGTAAACTTCCTAACAGAGCACGTCTCCATTTTTGTTGAACTGGAGGACTCTAGGTAACACTTAGGATTCATCACAGTGTCACGCCAGAGACCGACAAGGAGGTCCAAGATTACACAAATCCACGCGTTCTCCATGAGATCACAAACAGATACAAGCCCTTGATAAACATGTTTACACATCACGCTAGAGTGTGGGGAGAGGGCTGGAAAGGCATTGTGGGGGCACATCACTGCTACGCGATTAGAATTTTCTGGAAGAGATAACCAGTGAGCAGCAGAATGGAGGGACAAAGGAAAGCCTGGGAGCTGGATGGGGTCACATCGTAAGGAAAATTTCCTAGAATAGGAAATGTTCCTCTCTGTAAATTGTGCATTCCACCAGGTTAAATCACCATTTTTCTCCTGGGATTCCCTCGCTAAACCGACACCACCAAGATGTCCCTAAGACCTACTAGCAGGTCTTTGTCACACTGGCTTTAGCTGCCCCAATCTGTGGAGGGTGCTAAGTACGTGCCCAGTAAACCGACAGACGGTGGGGCCCACAGCACATCTCACACAAACCTAACACGCACGATGTTGTTTGCTGCTCACAGCAAAGCCGGGACGTCAGTGCTACTGGGGACCCACCCCCCCGCAACCAGGCTCCAAGTCACCTTCTCCCGCAGCTTCTGTTCCTTGCGCTCCTGCACCGTGGTCAGGTAGTTGACAGCCGCATACTCCAGCACCGACAGGAACACGAACACAAAGCTGACCCAGAGGTAGATGTCCACGGCCTTGATGTAGGAGACGCGGGGCATGGAGGCATTCACGCCAGTGATGATGGTTGACATGGTCAGCACCGTTGTGATCCCTGCAAGGCGTGAGAAGAGAAATAAGCATTTGTGTGTCACTCCTCAAACACCCAACGGCTTTACGCCTCGTTTGTCCTTCCTCTTTCCTCTACCTACACTCTCTCCACCCTTGCCCCTCTGTCTAGCAACACCCCACTCTATCCTTCCACAGAGAACCCCAGACATTTTGGCGTTAACGCATTTCTCTCAATTCAATTTTTAGAAGAGATTGCCTATAGGAGCAGGTATGTTTCTTACAACCACTGCCCTATCAAGGGGGGAAACAGGTGCACGAGGTTTATCTTAATTGCTGTGGAGTCTAGCGTCCCAGCCATGTTAGCAGTTGTCAGGGCTCCCCTGGCCAACACCCCCTCTGCTGCCCTGACTTCCACTCAGTAATGTCCACTCCAAGACTCAGAGGTCGATTGTTTTTTGAGACAGAGTCTCACTCTGTCACCTTGGGTAGAATGTAGGAGCCTCATAGCTCACAGCAACCTCAAACTCTTGGACTCAAGTGATCCTCCTGCCCAGCCTCCTGAGAAGTTGGGACTACAGGCGCACCACAATGCAGACTATTTTTTTCTATTTTTCGTAGAGATGAGGTCTCGCTCTTGGTCAGGCTGGTCTCAAACTCCTGAGCTCAAGAGATCCTCCCGCTTCGGCCTCCCAGAGTGCTGGGATTACAGGTGTGAGCCGCTGCCCCTGCCTGTCAGAGGTGAATTTTACTAAGGATGATCATGTTAACTACATCTATAGGAGACAGATTTCAAAACTAGAATGTGTGTTTACTTATCACAGTAACTGTTCAAGCTATGGAACAACTAGAGGCCAAGGCATATGTCTGTGGAAATTTCCCCAGGATTCCGAATTAAGCTTGGAACATTTATTTGGCAAACATCAAATCACAGAGGATTGGGGACATCTTAAGGGCCAGCTCCAATCCAGTTTCACTAAAAACAGCAGGTCATACTGTCCCTTGCAGCTTCTAAGCTGTCTGAGCCTTGGCGATATGTGTGATTAAGTAGGTCTAATGTTCTGAGTGAGGGCAGGTGGCGGTTGATGGGCACTTGTAGGATGGGTGTACTCAGACTCAGGCCTAAGAATTATTGGGGGACTTTGTTGAAAATGCAGGTTCTTGGTCCTCACCCAGAGATTAGGATTCTGCAAAGACCCAAGACTCTTCTTCATTTTTTGACAATTTCCCTCAGAGATTCTTTTACAAAGATCTCTTGTACTGCCATTCGAAAAGGCAGTATTTATTTATTTTTATTTATTTTATCTGTTTTATTTATTTTTTATTTAACTCTATTATAGAATATGATTCATCTTACAAGTGAACAGAGGAAAGGCATACAGACCAAGGGTGCCACCCTAGAGCTCCAGGTGGGCTGTTTGGATGGCACCCTTGGGGGCCTATAAGGTTTTGCTACATAGATTCTTATTTTTATTTTATTTTACTTATTTATTCATTTATTTATTTATTTTGAGACAGAGCCTCAAGCTGTCACCCTCGGTAGAGTGCTGTGGCATCATAGCTCACAGCAACCTCCAACTCCTGAGCTCAAGCGAGTCTCCTGCCTCCACCTACCAAGTAGCTGGGACTACAGGTGCCTGCCACAATGCCCAGCTATTTTTTGGTTCCAGCCATCATTGTTTGGTGGGCCTGGGCTGGAGTCAAACCTGCCAGCTCAGGTGTATGTGGCTGGTGCCTTAGCCGCTTGAACCACAGGCGCCAAGCTGCTACATAGATTCTTAATTATGGGATGTTACTTGCAATTAAATACCTTGGAGTTTCTCCAGTTGCAATGCTGAGAGGATGTAGAGCCATTTGAAAAGAATGATTTTATCTGCAAGAAATTACTGATATTGGAATGTGTACTTGAGATATTTCTTACCTAAGGGGACTCTGGCGGGCACAGCTCTGCGGTCAATCCAGAAGGACACCCAGGACAGCATGACCATCAGGGTGGCCGGGAAGTAGGTCTGGAGCAAGAAGAAGAAGATGTGTCGCCGCAGCGTGAAGTTGATGTACAGACGGTTGTACCAGCCTGGGGATCGGGAGGAAGAGACAGCACACGTCAGCACTGCTCAGCTCCCTCAGGAGACAGACTGTGTTCAGGGGATCAGAAGTGCCTCAGACACTCCAACATGATCTCATCACATCTTTAACAGATGCAGGTGAGGAAAATCCATGGAATTTAGTAATCCACACCACCTGGGTGAACCCATCTCAAGAGATTGTTGGCCCCTGTTCTGTACACAAAGGGAGCCCCTTAAGAAGGTCATTTAAACTCTCGATAGTCAAAATATGGTCTACGGCCCAGTAGCTTCATGACCAGATAGGTGGGAGCTTGTTAGAAATGCAAACTCTCTGCTGACAGCATGGCTCATGCCTGTAATCCCAGCTCTCTGGGAGGCCAAGGCAGGAGGATCCCTTGAACTCAGGAGTTTGAGACTACCTTGAGCAAGGGTGAGAACCTGTCTCTACTAAATATAGAAAAATTAGCTGGGCATTGTGGCAGATCCTTGTAGTCCCAGCTACTTGGGAGGCTGAGGCAAGAGGATGGCTTGAGTCCAGGAGTTTGAAGTTGCTGTGAGCTAGAGTGATACCATGGTACTCTAGCCTGGGCAACAGAGTGAGACTATCTCAGAAAAAAAAAAAAAAAAAGCAGAGTCTAGGGCCCACCCTTCTACTTAACAACATTCCTCAAGAAATCTGTATACATGTCAAAGTTTGAGAAGCACTGATAGGAATTTCTTTGTGGGGAGAAATGTTTTAAGTTAAAATATAAAGCTAAACACTACGTGTATTAGGAGTATAGTCAACATTCCCCAGGGGAAGCTCTGCTCAGCTCTGCTCTGTGAACTTTACCAGGAAAACATGCCTGAGGGAGGTGGAGGGAGGGAAAAGGCAAAGTCAGGGTAGGTTTGGGATGCCTAGGACTGAGAGTAAAAGGTGGACCTGGCGGCATTCACTTGGAAATTGGCACCCTGGGTGACTGGGGACATGTCTCATGGTACCAGAAAGAGATTGTGGGAGCATTGTCAAAATACTGAGGATCAAAAGAACCAGTGTGCCCTGATTAACCAATCCTGTGGGTAATGGACACAGGGGACAAGGGTGTGGATTGTGACCCTACCCTAGAAGTGAGCCAATGCTCTCTCTTACAGATTAGGACAGTGATGTACTTAAAAGACTGCACTTTCCCATGCAATCAGTCAGGCAAGGTCTTAGCAATGGAAAACACATAAGAATTTGAGGAAAATCATCTTGAAAGGTGAGTAGTCAAAAAAGAGGCAAGGGATAGAGTGAGGTAGCCTCAGCTATTTACCAGGTAAGTAGCAATAGGCAGACTCTCAAAAAAGTCACAGGCAATAGGAAGTAGCAAGCCTGACCAGACCCTTGGTTCAGAAAACAACAGCCAGCCCCACAAGGGAATAACCATCAGGTCCTGCACAGAAGCTTAGAAGAGAGTGATAAGGGGTTGTGCAGGCAGAGTGGCAGGAGGGGACTGCATGGGGCATCCCAGTGGCTGTCTGCAGTAGGGAGAATGAAAACAGCAGACCAGCAGTGGAACGCCCTCCTTGCTGCAGAGGAGGGGCCTCTCACGGGACATCAGGGCTGAGATGCCACCTACCAGGCCACAATCCAAGTCTCAAATAAACTTATCCACTTATATTTGAGTCCCACCAATATTTTCTAGGTTTATACTCCTGATGGACTGATGGTATCAAAAAGTCATCTCTACCCAAGGCTTGACACCAGAGATACTTCCCTTAGGATTCGTGTCTTTAGTTTCAGATGCAAGTGATACAGGCTCTACTTACTTGACAAACAATTTATACTTGCCTGCCAGCTGAGGATGAACCTCTGTGGGCAAACTGAAGCCCCAGCCACTCCCCACTCACCTGTGCTGCTATAGAAAGCCAGTTTAGTGGTGGTGTGGAATTCCTGTATGAGAAACTGGGAGAGTGAGATCCGCTCATCCGTCTTTAAGGAGTCATTGCCCTTTTTCCAGTATAGCATGAGGTCGTCTTCCGTGTAGGCATCTGAAAGGAAGGGACAGGCTGACTGTGGGGGTGTGTGGAAGCTGTGTCCCGATATCCTGCACAAACTATTGGGATTGTGATACAACAGTTTGAATAAACAAACCACAGTCTAAACAAAGTGAGACAAAATCCAAAATGACCCCAAATGCTCCCCAGTCTTTCAAAAGTCATCAGAGCAAAGCTCTCAAGCCCAAATGTTCATAATTCCTGCAAAAAGGCACCGCCCACAAGTCAGTCTGGTGTTTACCATGTTAAATCAAATGAAATCACTATTTTTTAGGTCAGATTTCACATGGTTCGCTCTTATAAACCAGGGGTAATTTAGCCCTTGCTTTTCTTTTTTCAAAGTGTAGCGACTCATCAGTTGATGGTAGATGCCCTTGGCTACATTCTAACAAGAAAGGACCACACAGAGATGGGAACAGAACAAGTCCCTTCACTATAGGCTGCCAGCAAGTCCCACCCATGGTGAAGTGGAAGTGATTCCCTGATGATCACCCTCTTGGGTGCACCATGTCCCCCAGCCCCACCATGTCAGCTGAGTATGTGCCTTACTGCAAGTGGACATACTACAGCCTGGGCGCAACAGAGGTCAGACCTACTGGAGTAGCCAGTCCAGTCTTCCCGTCTATGAGCAGCTCCTTCTAGGCTTCTCTGTTAATATTTTATTCTATTCCTATTTTCCAACCCATGACCTGTGTGATAGTTGGTCACAGTTTTTCAATCAAACACTTATAAGGCATTCTGTAGCTGTGGATGTGACCAGTGTCCACAACCAAGGGACTTTAGTGTACATACTGCTGAAGCCAACACAGCCACCAGTGGGCTTCAGAGGAGGTGATTCTAGCTAAACCCTGGGCTGGATCCAATCAGGTAAAAAGCTTTTTTTTTTTTTTTTTTTGAGACAGATTGTCACTATGTCGCCCTCAGAGTGCCATGGTGTCATAGATCATAGCAACCATCTCTTGGGCTTAAGCGATTTCCTTGCTTCAGCCACCTGAGTAGCTGGGACTACAAGCATTTGCCACAGTGCCCAGCTATTTTTGGTTGCAATTGTTATTGTTATTGAGCAGGTACAGACTGGGCTCGAACCCACCAGCCTTGGTGTATGTGGCTGCACCCTACTCACTGATCTGTGGGTGCAAAGCCAGATAAAATGTTTTAAGAACATAGCTGAGACTTCTAGAAGAAGAAATTCCACCTGTAGTTTGCAAAAATGTATGTGATGCACAAAAGTTGTAAATTTTCACAAAATCCAATTTGTTGGTGGGGTGGAGCCAAGATGGCAGACTGCAGCCAGCTTTTTGTAGAAGCTCCCATCCAGAAGGAGGCTCAAAGGACAGAAGTTTAGCAAGGGAGCTGATGGTCTGGAGAGGAGCCAAGAGAGAAGATTAAAGAGCACACTTCAATCTTCCTGAGGCGACCTGCGACCCCAAAAATACAATCAAAAGGTAAAAAATCCACCACCAAGCGGATGGGAGTCCCTTCCCCCACAAGAAGGGCTGGCAGTTTACTCCATGCATACAAGCGAGAAGAGTTCAAACATACTCCCACTCTATCCCACGGGAGAGACCCCCTAAAAACTGGACCTCCTACCCCTGCTGGCGTGCCATGGCACCCTCCTGCCAGGCATAAAACTGTATATATTCCCCACCTGCAACATTGAACTCCAAGGATTCCACTCCCCTCACCCCAAGGTCTGGAGGTTTGTTACCTACGGAGTCCAGATTCTTGGGCATCTCCTTGAGAGAAGTGGAGGGGAGAGGGCTGGTGTTCCTCTGTGCTGACTATGGCACAGGAGTAAGGAGAAGAAAATTGGCTCGGAGGAAGCTGTACAGCAACAGTGGCATCCTGAGCTGCAAACTGACACCATTCCAGATAGGCGAGCCACATCTCTCTGGGCAACTAGAGGTTCCGGACAGTAGCCACAGGCAGAACGGACTTGGTAACTTTCATAAGTAAAGAGACCATTAGCACCAACCTTCAGGGGAATATTGCTGAGACAAAGGCAGGGGGCAGGCAGAGGCTGGAATTGACACACACCTGAGTGTAAACTCTAATTGCTTGCTGCCCAGAGCTGAGTTCCTCATCAACTCTAGCAGTCTCTGACTTGCAGAGGAATTCAGCCAGGACAAAAGGTGAGGGGCTGGAATTGAGAGAACTTTCACAGCCTAATTTAAACATGCAAGGCCCTCCTGCCAGACTCAGATTTTTGGGCAGTTGCCTACTGGAGTGAATAAGGTCACAGACCTGGGGGATTACGAGTGACTGAATACAAGGTGGGATAGGAGGTATTAACCTTCCCAGACTAATCCATTTGCTGGGTGGGTCCCTTTGCCCTCACAGAGCACTGGAGCAAGTTATATCTGAACTGTGAGCAGACCTCGCTTATCTAGCTGCCAGAGACATTTGGACTCTTCCACCTGAAACTGGTGCTGACTGGGACAATTGATTTGGACCCCTTAAACCAGGCAGACCACCCAGGGACTATTCAAAGGGGCACCCTGGATGTATGGTTGAGGGAAGGTTTGATTTTCCTTGCCAAATTGTTGTTTGTGGGGGGTAGGGTGACTTAATTGCTGGTATTTCTCCACAGCAGAGACTTCAACCAAGATAAACTGAATCACTAGGGTAGGACAGAGACCAACTGAAAATAAGACAGAGCCACTTAACCCCACCACACCAAGCAGGTCCCCAGTCTCTCAGGCCGTAACACTGTATGGGTCATTGACAAATCTCAAGGGGAAAAGTCAAACAGGGTAAAACAATCATGGGGCGGAATCAGTGGAAAAGCTCTGGTAATATGAATAACTAGAGAAGATCAACCCCCCCCCAAGAAAGGATGTGGCTGGTAATATGAATAACCAGAGTAGGTCAACACCCCCAAGAAAAGATATGTCAGACAGAACTGAAGATTCCCTATATAAACAGATGGCTAAGATGTCAGAAATTGAATCCAGAATTTGGATTGCAAATAAGATGAATAGAATAGAGGCAAAGACAGAACTAGAAATTCAAGGAGCATTCCAAAAGTTCACTCAAGAATTCAACAAATTCAAAGACAAAACCACCAAAGATTTTGAAACATTAAGGCAAGAGATTGTAGCCCTCAAAGATCTGAAAAATATGTTAGAATCTCTTGGAAACAGAGTGCAGGAGGCAGAAGACAGGATCTCAGACGTAGAAGACAAAGCTTCTGAATATGTCCAAATGTCCAAAGAGAATCAGAAATGGAAAGCAAAAACAGATCATTCTCTCAGAGAGCTCTGGAATAATTCAAAGAAAACTAATATATGCCTCACAGGAATCCCTGAAGGCGACAAAGTTGCTTCGCAAAACACAGAGGCTCTTCTGTATGAAATTATGAAAGAGAACTTTCCAGATATGTCAACAGATTCTGAAATTCAGATTTCAGACAGCTTCAGAACCCCAGCACGACTCAATCCGAATAAGACATCCCCCAGACACATCATAATTAACTTCACTAAAGTTAATATGAAAGAGAAAATCTTGAAAGAAGCAAGACATAATAAAACCATAACCTACAAGGGGAAGAATATTAGAATAACTGCAGATCTCTCTGCTGAAAACTTTCAGGCAAGAAGAGGGTGGTCATCGACATTTAATCTCTTAAAACAAAATAACTTTCAGCCCAGGATTCTGTATCCAGCTAAACTGAGTTTCATTTATGATGGAGAAATTAAATACTTTAATGATATCCATGCATTGAAGAAATTTGCCATAACTAATCCAGCTCTCCAGGATAGTCTCAGACCTATTCTCCATAATGACCAATGGAATCCACCACCACAAAAGTAAACTAACTCAGAAACTATTGATCAAACTCCAACTTCTACAGTGGTGAAAGGATTAAAAACGTCCACTGGATTTTTGAACAACTCGATACCTAAAATTTTATCAGGCTTATCAATAATTTCAATCAATGTGAATGTCTTAAATTGTCCTCTAAAGAGGCACAGATTGGCTGATAGGATACAGAAACTCAGAATCTCATCTTACCTTAAAAGACAAATATAGACTCAGGGTGAAGGGATGGTCATCTATATTCCAGGCTAATGGAAAGCAGAAAAAAGCAGGTGTTG